AGCCAATCTTTAATCCCTGCCGGCTGATGCTGATTCCCAGACATGTGCCAACAGCTGATGGTTCTTCCCTATCCCTTCCAGAATGTCCTGAAGAAGAGAATTGGTCCTTTTGAAGAACACTAAAGAGTTGCTTTCCCAAACAAACTTCATTTCTGTATGCAGAGCAAAATCTGTCTGAACTATGAGTCTATGTGGCTGGCCAGAAGTCTGTTTCATTTTAATCTGGGTTGGCATATCCACTGCCCTCTCCCACTGCTGCAAGTCAAGTCATCCAGAAAATAGGAACAGCAAAGCCCTCAGTTGGACCCCCATGTTGTCCCAGAGCTCTATTAAAGCCAATGCCTCCAGAATCCTGCTGGGTCTGCTCCTCTTTTCTGGTCGCTCACATTTGTTCATACCTACCAAAGTGCCCTCTACTTACACACCAAATTACTTGGACATGGAGGAATGAGGATGATGGAGAGCTCATCAAGAATTCACACCTGCTGTTCTGTGATCCTGATAAACAAAACCAAATTCTCAGTTGCCTTCTCCAAGGAGCTGGTTTTGAGGGACTAACTGTGGACCAATCAAAGCAATAAAACTTTGCCATTTGTGTGTGTGTGTGTGTGTGTGTGTGTGTGTGAATGAGAGACAGAGAGGAGGGAGAGAGAAGGTGAATAAGAGCAGACACGCTGGCCCATTTTGTTACCAAAATATTTTAAATACACATCTATTTCGAGGAAGGTTCATTTAATCTATGTTAACAATCCTTTCCCATGTTTAACATCTTTATGCAAACTCTTGTTTGCATCTGTACCTTTACAATATCTTGGAATGCTCTAGTCCCTTACGTCAAAACTCCCTCTTTTTGGTTATCTTTTGCTTCATTCAGTGCTCTGTTTTCCCTTTCCCCCAATACTGTAATACCCCATACTAACACCAATTAACATGACAAAAACAGAAGGCATCCTGGAAAGCAGGGACTCCTGAAAACCTCATGTCCTCTGCTCCTGCTCTGTCCTTTCTCTATTGGGATCAAATTAACTTCTGTTCCAAATGCTAGCCATCCAAATGCTAGCTGAAACTAGAGAGAAGCTTTACTGTAGAGATGGTATTCAGCAGGTTCTGACCAGTTCTGGAGAACCGGTAGCAGAAATTTTGAGTAGTTTGGAGAACTGGCAAATACCAACTCTGATGGGCGATTTTACGGTATCCTTCCCCTGCCACACCCACCAAGCCACGCTTGCAGAACCGGTAGTAAAAAAATTTGAATGCCACCACTGCTTTACTGCTCCCTTTTTGGAGGCAATTTATTTTACCACACGGATGCCACCATATGTGAAGAAGCTACTGCCTCAGCATTGTGAGCCAGATGTGCACAATGGATCTGAAATGTTGGTCTTCCCCAATAGCAGAAGCACCACTGTAACTTCTGAAGGAGGCTCACCTTAATTACATTTACATGCCACTCACCTTCCTGTCATGTGACTCAGTGCCTGCATTGTTCCTGCTTCCGGTGCCATACTGCACCGAGTAGACAAAAGATGGATGCCTCCCTGTTCCTTCCCATTCACAAGCCATCTTTGGATCTGACTCCAGCCCCACAATCCTGCCTGACTCTACTCATAAACCAATAGCCATATATTGTAGGTTTTTCTTGGCCACATATTTCGAACCCATAAGGTAGATTCAAAGGATATGTCTTTGGATACAGTGAAAAAGTTCCACCCTTACATTAACACACTTTGGCTACAGAATGTTAGCTGAAACATAGTTTACTCAATTACCCATTTTTCCGGGCTCACACAATACCCTGAAATATAAATTAATCACAAAGCCTGGATTAGCTTCTTTGTGATTAGTATGTCATGCGAACATAGTCTAAATATAGCTAAGTTCTCAACTTAATTGGATCTCTCCGAAAACAGCAACTGAATGCATTTTGAAAAACAGATGACTGGGTTTCGTCTTCCAGCCAAAAATATGAGACGGCACTAAGCCCTGCACATCAGCCCTGGGAGCAGCTCTTTTTCAACTGCAGTTGGGAGATCTTTCTGTCTCCTGGCTTTCAAAGGCACATTCACCATATTGAAAAGCATATTTGCAAAATGCTTTGGAACAGGTTCCTCTCCTTGCCAAATCCCAGCAGCCAAAAATGTTTTGCCTGAATTGCAAGACTTCACACCTAGAGAAGAGGGTGAGCCAGAAGGTTCGGCAGGCAAATATTCATGGGGCAGCTGGAGCAGCAAAGCCAAATTCTCTGGGGACCAGCTAGGTAAACCAGTAGTCTTGGGCACATCTTCAGCTTCAGTAATATAATTGCCAAGGTGTTCCTTAGCAATGGATGGCAGAGAAAGAGCTTGACCCCTTATTTTGTCTCTTCCTTGCCAAATAACCCCCCCCCCCCCACACACACACAACACACACACTATTTCTCTTTTCAACTAGGTCGGAGATGCAATTCAAAGCCATGCAGGATCCTCAGATGAACTTTATGTGTTCGGGGGACATTCTTCATTGTACAAGAGAGGAAACTCCATTCCAGTGGACGCTGCTTCCCTCAGGACTTTGTGGCTGTTGAACTTTGGCCAACAGCTTAGTGATATACCTGTCTCTCAAGCCCAAGTGTTACAGTGAAGGGCAGTTTGGAGAAAGGAAGTACTTCCTTAGCTCTTGGGGAATACAGATGGAAGGATGAGTTATTAGCTCCTCTCTGTACCTCAGCCTCTCAGGAAAGCTTAGAAGCTGCCTTAAAGTATACCCAAAAGCCCTTCCATTCCAGTAATATGAAGCATATGTTAATTACTTTGTAGGCTAAAAAATATATTGTGTTGCAGATGAAGTGATCCAGGCACATGGCATGGACACAAGCACAGGGTAGGAACCTCTCATTTGTCTTATCATGGCCTGAACCGCCAATCCTGGAATTTCATGCAGAAATTAGCTTTTGTGTTATAATCTCCTCCTAGATTGGATTGCAAGAAAGAGCAGAGATACAACTGCATGAGCGTTGGTCTCTGGAGGTCTTTTCAGCTGCAAAAGACATGCAGGGCAATTTGAAGCTGGCTGAAAGCTGCTGTTCCTATTCCTGAAGTCGGCACATCTGTGCATAGAGGATCTACTATGAAATCAAGCAAACCATCTCATCCAGCATATCTCATGGTTCTAGAATGGCAGGAGAGGGAAATAATGTTTTAAGAAAGATTATATGCCTCAGGGTTGGGCAGAAGACAGAACAAGATCTAAACGGCAGATTTTTGATTCTGACAAGTAGACCAAATACATTGATTATGGTGATGATTTTGTACTTTCAACAAGGTAAACAGCCTTTGGAATTGACTCCATTCTTGGTGACTATGTAGACTTCTAGTTTTCTTGCAACTCTATGTAAATGGCATTTACTAGGCATCTACTAGGTTTAGCTAAGTTTTTCTGCTCATCTACTATACATGATGGAGGCAAGTCATGAGAGAGGAACCTAAATATGATCGCTGAATTGGAGAACTTCTGTTCCAATCAGGTATGCCTTGCATTGGTAAAATGGTTAAACAAAATGGTTAAAGGTCCTCCAATTTCTGATTGTAGGTTTTGCCGTGGCCACAATAATCCAAGCTTTGGATATTTGTCTGTGTGTATTTTTATAGCTACAGCCAACTATTACAAAAGCTAAGGAGCACTTCATTTACCTAATCTGAACCAACAAAATAGGACAGATGTAGAACATCCTATATAACTGTACAAATTGGGTTTTTAGAAAAGTGAAGCTCTTGGTCCTACAACTGGCGTTTCAGATCTTCAAAAACAATCAGCTGAATATTTGTGCATGACTTTCTCTTACCCCTAAAAGGCAATATGGAAATTGTAAGCCTACTCCCTGGAGAACCAGTACACCTAACCAGCTCAGTCAGAGTTCACTCCAAGACTACTCCACATTTCCCTCAGAACGAGCTTCTGAAAGAAAAAGGGAATCACTTATGGATAGAAAGGAAGGAAGGGTTTCTCAGCCACCAGAGCAGCAGACTGGCTGGCATTTGATGTTGGAAAGGGCATTAGGTGATAGCAGTACTTGCTTAAAACAGCTTTCTTCCATCAAGCCAAGGGTGTCAAACTCACGGCCCACGGTCCAGGTGCGTCATGCGCTGGCCACCCCCACCCCCAGTTTAGCAAAAGTCATGATATGTCACATGACAATGTGATACCTGTTTGACCTGCAAGTTTGACACCTGTGCACTAAGCCATCATGTAAGGCAACAACCACCAAGCCACCTGTTCTGAGAATTTCTAAAGATAGCTGCCAGATGCTGGACCTCAGGACTGGTGTAAGACCCACTAGATTGCTCACGGTGAAAATTCTCATTTTAATGCCCATTTCATAAATTGAAATTGAGCGCACAATCTACCAACTCTATACCATTCTCACTGAAACAAGCCAGCTGCACAGGGCATGGTGGTGATAATGCTCTAGTGGTGCTCTCGTTCATTTTGATAGAGCTGACAGAGAGAAACCTCCAGCTGGATTGACCTTGTGGGTCAGACATATCCATTTACCACTAAACTATCTTTAATGGAACCCACGTCAGTTGCCTCCTGGAAGCACCACCATCTGTCTCACCGGCACTGTGTGACATGCATTCACAAACAACCCAAGCAACCTGCCATTCACAGACAAAGACAGCATTCCGAAAAGGCAAGAGGGGCTGCCTCCACATCAGAATCCACAGCCAGCATTCATCTCCGTTACTTGGTGAAGAAATTCAGCTGGTTGCAGGTCTGCTCCTGGGGGACTTGAAGATCACAAATGTAACTGCCAGAGCATGATAAGGTGTGAACAATGAAGCCCAGGTAGAGAATGGGGACAATTCACAGGAAGGCGGCTTGCATTTTCAGAAGCCATTATTCAGAAAGCTTTCTCATTGAAACAGAGATGAGGCTCTGTCCAGTTAGCACTGAACACCTACAGAAATAGGACATGCAAATTTAAGGAGATGCCCCTGCCCTGCCCTGCCCTCCCCCCCCCAGAAAAGCCACTGTGTCTGTTGGAAGAAGACTGCTCCCCTGCAATTGTTGTGTTAGTCACAGCTTCACAATGGTGGATGTGTCAGTTGGATCATGCCTCTTCTGAAGGATGTGGAGACGTCTTTAGAATAGGAGCTCACACCTTGTTACCTGTATCAAGACATAGAGAACCTCATAGGACGCCTGTCCTATAAGAGATACACACAGAGCATTTTAAATCTGACTAAAAATTAATTTAGCCAACAGTCAATCAACTCGCTCTTTTTTGGGTCTCTCTGCTACTGCCAATGTTCTTTTATAGAGAGCCAAAAACACTAAATGAGGCTTCAAACAATTTTCTGTTTGCTGCATACACATGTCACGTGCATCTCCTTAAAAAGCTACAGGCATTTCAAATTGTTTCCAGATCATGGTCCCAGTAGGTGATTCCTTGAGGGCTCCAGGACCCACATGAAAGAAAAATTCCTTTTGAATCAGCACTTCACTGGAAGCGCAGTGGGATCTCTTAGCTGACTGCAAGAGTAGAGCACAAAGCATTTTAAGCAAGATGGGCATAATTCTACTAAGTGCTAGTAGACCTGTAATAGTGAGAGTATAGAACTCATCACAGTGAGGCCTCCAAAATTAGGATTTGTTACATTCCCAATCCCTCTCCCATCCCATCCCCTTTGAGGTAGCTGCCAAACAGGATTTCTATCTGACTATAAAAAAGAAATGCTGAAAGAGGCGTCTGATTCTTCTGAATGAATTCTGTCAGGCTACGCCTAAACCACACTAGCTTTCTTGGCAGCAGAAAAAAACTTCTGGGTTCTGTGAAATCCAAAGCTTGCTACAAAAGGTAACAATTTGAACTATGTGTCACCTGTACTATGTGGGACAGTTATCACTAAGATTGTCCACATTCATTACATAGCTCTGGCGCAGAACATATGTTTAATGTCCACATGAGTTTGCTATTGTTAGTGGAGTACACAGCCTCCAAATCTGCCCCTGCATTGACAGTATTCTATCTTCCTAAACAATATTTAAAATATGAAACCTAGTAAGCAGTACTCACTGGAAACAAATATTGTTGACTTTTAGATCATCGGCCAGGACCAAAGATCGTAAGTTATGAACATTGCTGGATTCTTAGCTAGACTGAGAACAGTGTTAAACCTGGGATGGTATGGGTAATTTATGTCTACAGTTCATTCTGCAATGAAGAAAAGTGACTCAACTTTCTTTTTAGCCTAAATGGGGCTAAAAAGGCTCAGAAGTGACCTCCAGTTAGAATGTCCACATGAAGTGGGCAATAAACATTGCAAGATCCAATCTGAGTTGATCACCGGGAACAGTGGTTTATTCTTCCGAGCTTTTGGACTTGTGCTGGAGCCCATCTTCAGGGAACTTCTCTCTACTGGAATATGTGCTTTGGGCTATTCTGTGAGTCATATTTATGAGGAGCCTTCCTATTGGGTGATTGGTGTATTGATGGCTGGTGATTGGTTGCTGTTTCCTTGTGCTGCCAAGCCCTTGGGCTGATTTACCACCAACTTATCAGGTACGTAGGAGCCGAGGGCTTGGCAGCATAAGGAAACAGCAACCAATCACCAGCCATCAATACACCAATCAACCAATAGGAAGGCACATAAATACTCTATGGCAGGATATTTGCCCCACCCCACCTACATTAACTATTCTGCTATTATCTTATTCTCTGTCTATCTATGAAGAAAAAATGGTGGCCAATGTAAGAATTCCTACATAGCTGTAAGAATTAAAATGGCTTCTGCTTGTTTGGAACAAAATAGCCATACACTTACCTAAACCTCTGGCTGGTCCAGATTTTTTTTAATTTAACCTGCAAGAAACAAAAGAAAATTTGGTAAAGCCAAATATCATTTGTAGAGTTGTAATTGCAGGAATGTTCCAATCTTGGATGGCAAACCTCAGATAAAGAATGTTTCCAAGCAAATACAACTCAGGTAAACAAAGTCACTAATCTAAAGGAGGATTAGAGAGAGGAAGTAAACATATGTTAGACTTTAACTAGTGATAATTAATTGTATGGATTACTGTGCAAAACAGTAACAAAAGTTAAGCAGTAACCAAAGTTAATCCAATGATGGAGGATAACTAAAAATGTGCATAAATGCAAGACTAGACTCCAATAAAGATCATCATGATTCAGTTGTTCATGATCAAACAACTCGACTGCCTCGTCATTACAACTAGTGGTGCATGAACAGGGACCCTCTCACTTCGTCTGGCAAGGATTTGGTGCACCTTCAACCCTTTGTGGTTTCTTCAACGTTTTGGTTTCTGTAAGTATGGGGTCTTCGCTTTCTGAGGAACAAAGGAAGCATGTAGATGAATTAGGCTATTTGTTGAAGAAAAATAATACCAAGGTACCACAGAGAAATCTCTTAAGGCTGGTCCAGGAGATTGCAGCTCAGTGTCTATGGTACCCAGAAAAGAGGTCTTTAAAATTAACTGATCGGGAACGTATTGGGAAAACATTGCATACTGAACCACAAGCAAAAATAGAAGTTTTGCATGTGTGGCATTTATGTAGGCATGCAATTGAAACATTTGGTCACAATGAACTTTCTCTTTTAACATCTCCACCTTCACGTGGAGAATACTAATGCTGTCATTTGTCCCCCTTCTTCACCTGAATATATGTCTTCAATTCCCTCAGCTCCTGCAGATACAAGGCAAAGGCCTCCTGACTCTATTGTTCAGTCTTCTTTTCAGAAAATGGTAGAGACTTGTAAAAGGGATGCCTCTGTCTCAGGAACAGAACTTGCAGAATTAGTGTCTGTTTGTCCAGTACAATATCGTCCTGGACAGGGGCCACAGCTTGGACTGCAAGTAGCAGAATGGGAGGGTCTGCCTTATCAGATCTTAAGAGAGTTTAAAAAAGGCAGTTACAGACTATGGGATTAGTGGTAATTTTACAAGAGGACTTGTAGAAGGAATAAAAAATGGTTATACAATGATCCCTGAAGATTGGAAGCAAATATTTCGCATGATTTTAACATCCATGCAATATATGGTTTGGGAGAGTGAATATATGAGACATGCTCAAGCTGCTGCTTTAGGAGTGGGAGGAGCATATACAGTTGAGCAGCTATTTGGTTCTGGACCATTTGGTACAATTCCTACTCAAGTTGTTCTTCCTCCAGCTACGTTAACTATTGTTTCTGAATGTGCCTTTTGTGCTTTTCTTAAGGTACCCCAAGCTGGAGAACCTGGAGCAAATTTTTCAAACATTCGACAGAATGCCAATGAGCCTTATGCTGACAGCAGTTTGATCATCAGGAAGCTGCTGGTGAACTTCTTCGCCAGTTAGCTATTGAAAATGCTAATGCGGATTGTAAAAGAGCTTTACAGCCGTTAAAGGCTACTGCTCATTACACTCTGGCAGATATGCTGCGAATCTGCCAAGATATTGGATCACAAACTTATAAAATGCATATGTTAGCAGCTGCTATTCAGAAAGGACAGCAACCAATTGGTAATTGTTTTAAGTGTAAGAAGCCTGGCTACTTTCAGGACTGTCGTTCTACACCTTCTATGCTTCAGAATCGTCCTTCTAAGAAGTGCCCTATTTGCAAAAAGGATTACATTGGGCCAATCAATGTCGGTTTCGGTTGGGAAACTTGCCAATGGGTGTGGCACCCACCCAGAATCCAAAGTGTGCCTTTCCCATCACTCTGACTCCTCCAGCAGTCTCTCTCACTCCTCCCCAGCCACAGCCGGTAGCGCTGGGATCAATTTAATCACTCAAGAGGAAATTGAGTTTAAATTTCCCATGGAAGTTAAAATAGTTCCATCTCAATTTAGAGGTCCTCTTCCTTCGGGATTAGTTGGCTTAATTTTGCCTTGTTCTTCTGCACACAAAAAGGGCTGTTTTGTTGTGCCTGGGGTAATAGATTCAGATTACACTGGTATCCTCATGATTCAGATTTGGGTGAATCTTCCTCAAGTTCTTCCTTGTAATTCTTCTGTTGCTCAATTGCTTCTTCTTCCATATGAAAATCCATCTCCTGGTATAGGTAGTCGTGGGGATGCAAGATTTGGATCAACTTCTTTATCTGTAGGCTTACTTCATCAGCTGAACTCCTCTCGTTCTTTGTTAACACTCTTCCTTAATAAACAACCATTTCAAGGGTTATTGGATACTGGAGCCGATGTTACTGTCATCTCCTCTTTACAGTGGCCAGTACAGTGGCAAAAAATGGCAGTTTCTTCATTGTGGGGAACAGGAGGTTCTACAGCTACTTGGCAGAGTGTTCAAGAAATTAATGTTACAACATCTGCTGGTAAGTCCTTTTTCCTACAACCATACATTCTAGATATTCATACTAATATTTGGGGCCGTGATATCCTTTTTCTTCTTAATGCCCATTCGATTCTTGATGATGGCTCTTCCTCTTAAATGGCTCTGTTCTATGCTGGTTTGGGTGGAACAATGGCCATTATCAAGGGAAAAACTCGCTGCTTTACAACAATTGGTTCAAGAACAATTGGCTGCTGGTCATACAGAACCTTCTATTAGTCCTTGGAATACTCCTGTTTTTGTTATAAAAAAGAAAAATGGGAAACATAGAATGTTGCACAATTCCTCCATTCCAATTCTTCCTGAATTACAAGTACAGAAATCATATACATTAGTACAATGGCAAAAATTACTTGGCATTATTAATTGGGCACGCCCATTCTTCTACATTAAAACTGGTGATACGTTGCTCTTATTTCAGTCTTTGAAGGGAGCACAATCATCAGGAGATCTAGTTGTATTAACTGATCTTCAAAGAACATGCCTTCAAGAAATATTGAATAAGTTTAAGCATCGATATGTGGACAGGATAACATCCTTAACAATAGGACTTTGCTTAGCTATTCTTCCCACTACACCCTTACCCACGGGATGTCTTTATTCTAATGCGTCCCCACAAGCGGTCAACATTCATGAATGGATTAATTTGTCAGCTACTCCGCCTAGAAACATTTATCCTTATCAATCAGCATTAGAGGATTTGATTATTAAAGGTCGTAAACGAGCCTTACATCTTACAGGACAGGATCTCATTAGCATAGTTTTCACTCGTACAAAAGTTGAACATGAGCATTTGATGATGATTTCAGAATCATATCAGATAGCCTTTTCTCAATATGTGGGAAACTTGTATTCTTTACCCAAGGATCCTAGAATAGTGGTTACTACTACTTTAAATCCGGCCTTTTCTTCCATTTTTGTGCGAAATCCTATTTCTAAAGCTCTTACAGTCTTTACATTTATTGTCTCACAACTACAATCTATTTCACACTCCTGGCTATTTTCTATACCCGCTATGCAATTGAATTCTGTCTGTTGGCATTACTTGAAAGTTAGTCAATTTACAAGGGGTCTGTGTTTCTGTTGTCACGCTAAACACACTTGGCTTCATAATTGGTCTGATTATGATGCTGCTCAGCACATATTAAAAAGGCTAGGGAATTATAGTTATTGTTCTGACTACTATTGGTTGTCAGGTACCTTTAATTCTTCTTTGCATGAAATTAATATAGCTCCTGATATGTATCCTGACAATTTTCCTATTTTTAATGCCTCTGATCAATCTAATATAGGATCGATATGCGCTGATTGGCAGCTTAAGGATGTGGTTCTTTTTTGATACATATGCTACTAATGTTCATCCTCAGAATTATCAATGTGCAACTATAGGTTATTTTACTCTACCTGTTCAAATAGGTACGCTCCCATCAACTCGACAGCGGCATTCCTCTCTTGGGCCTACATGTAATGATGAAGTCATTATTGACACACAATTGTTTTCTGGTTCTACATTTGGCCGTGCATTGGCAGGGGCCGTTACAGGAGGCTCTTATCCTGGCACAATTGCTCAAGAAAACAGATGATCTATTCTTGGTCTCACCTGCAGACTTGAAAAATCCATCAGTGCTACCGCTGCTATTATTTGTGATTTGCAGCATGAAATAGAAGACTTAAATCAAGATGTCTTACAGCAGCGTTTTGCCACAGACTATCTTTTAGCCCGTCAGGGAGGGTTCTGTACATTAGTTGGACACCGTGGATATGCTGTGCATTTTCATTCTTTGAATAAAACTACTGAGGATGAGCTTGCCAATTTACAATCATACATTCAAAATAATATCTATGCTCATTACTCACCTTTTGAGTGGCTAACCAATTGGCTCCCTGATTGGTCTTGGCTCAGACAGTTTTTCTTTTATGCTATAATTATTATTATTGTACTAATTGCAACCTGTTGTTTTATTCAATGTATTCCAAATTTATTCGCATTGTTTCATCCTGCTTCCCCCTCTCTTAATCCTCTACAATTGCGATACATTTATAAATCTTTGAATCCTCCATTTAAAATAAAAAACGATATGTAGAGTTGTAATTGCAGGAATGTTCCAATCTTGGATGGCAAACCTCAGATAAAGAATGTTTCCAAGCAAATACAACTCAGGTAAACAAAGTCACTAATCTAAAGGAGGATTAGAGGGAGGAAGTAAACATATGTTAGACTTTAACTAGAGATAATTAATTGTATGGATTACTGTGCAAAACAGTAACGAAAGTTAAGCAGTAACCAAAGTTAACCAATGATGGAGGATAATTAAAAATGTGTATAAATGCAAGACTAGACTCCAATAAAGATCATCATGATTCAGTTGTTCATGATCAAACAACTCGACTGCCTCGTCATTACGACAATCATTTTTATTTTCATGTTTTTATTTTCATGTTTAAAATGTGAACATTATATGTCTCTGGAAGAAGCATATGTATTAAGTAATACAAACTTAAAAATAATTAGTAATCCAAAGACAAATCAGGCAAGCTAAATTAGTAGTGCACTGTTCAGTAAATTCCACTAATAATGTGTAGTGAAAGAATTGTGCCAATAGGTGAGCAAAATGGTGGGCACAAACATATGAAAGTCAACCACATCTGTGACATCCTTGGTGTCCCAGATACTTTTGTTGGTCCAGATTCATCACAGATGAAAAGAGTTTGAACTAACATTGTAAATGCTTCCTTTTCCATGCCATGTGGTCTCCATCCATATTGGGCTTTGTGAAGCTATTTTTGTACCTTACATCTATTAAGGTTGATTAAACCAAAATGTAAGGAGTTAAAATGGCAATCCATCTAGCTGATCAATACAAACTAGATGCTAAAAGAGTCGTTTGTGGGGCCCTCTGCTGCAGCTGGCAAATATACATCCCCTAGCAACAGGACCAACTCATACCTATGGCAATGTTGGGAACAAGGCAAAGTGTGTCATGTGCTCTTAAATTCAGTTTTCTGATTAATCATTGACATGTTTTAAATTTGAAGTGTGTTAGGATTTTTTTAGCACATTTCAAAACTTGCTGTATACTTGTTTAAAGGAGTCATGACAGCTTTGCTTTTACCTCGGTCCTTCCCATTCTGCATCTTGTCCTCCTCTTCCTCCTCCTCACCTCCTTCCTCTCCCCCTACGACACAAAAAAGCCAGCGGCAATGAGAAAAAGTGAGGGGCCAGCAAGGGAGCAGGGAGCTGTAATGGCAGGAGACTTAAGAAACTCTGCTACTCTTTCCATGGGTGACTCAAGGTGCAATGCCTTCTTCAAGATGGCATGACCAACAGACAGAGAGGGTCTGGATCTCAGGTTCTATCTGGGGCCCAGAAGCAAAGAACTTTCAACCAGATTGGGAGAATCAAACATCATTTTAACAGAAAACAGAATCCTGAAATTAAAAGAACTGAATGGTACATTCTACAAAGGATACATTACAGACCTCTTAAGCGTCCTGAGCAAAGGTTGCATCAAATAAATTAAACAAGATTCTGAAGATTGAGTGGATTCATCCGATAGGGAATGCCCCTCCCTCTGTATATACCATGTATGCTGGTTCAAGTTATATTGTAAAATTTATTTCTTAAAATGTGCACTATGTAGACACTTTCTTAAGTACAGGGCAGAAAGGAGTTGGGTGATGAGCTGGAATATACGTAGAATTTGGTGGACATAAAGTTGGAAAGAACAAGAAAGAGGAAATATCTCACAAAAGGGGAACAAGACTGTTATAAAGAAAAGAGAGGCTGTTTTTTCAGAGTAATAAGAGGAATGTACAAGTGCAACTTTATTGCCTTAAATTGTGGACTATATTCCAAAAATGAGTATGGCTATTTTAGGCTTCAGGATTTTAAGAGGTTCCTTAAACCTGTATAAGTTTTAAACAGCTGACTTTGTAACTTGAATTGTCTGTAACTTTTAAAAATGAAAAAAAGGGGGCTAGATTTTAGTTCCACCTATTCTTGGGGGCTCTGGGGGCATTATAAAAAGAGGGCTACCTTTATTTGCACTGCTGCTGTACATCCAGCATAGGGCATGGAATTGACACTTATCTGGCTTTCTGAAGTGGGCAGAGGTGTAGATTACTTGCTTTCAAGGCTAATCAACTATGTTTGCTTAGGAGCATGGAAGATGTCATTTAGAATGACCTATTAAAATAAAAAGACCTATGGCTTTTATGCAAAATCCTTGAGGCAAAATTGTAACTAATCTGCTTTTTATTTTGTAGTGATAGAAGGGCTGGATTTAAATCGTATCTCCTATTGGCTTCCTTGGCTGAGTCTAATGAATCTACTTTTTGATTCTCATATGGGCTTGACTTCTTTCAACAGTCACTCAGGATGCTATAGATCAGGAAAAAAAATCAGATTATACAGATGGAAGGTTTCGAAACCAGGCTCAACAAAGTTACAGAGAGTTGGGAAGCATGCTGTTGTATCACGGCTACTTTAGTCATAAAATGCCCAGCTCAACATTAGCTGTTGGGGAGTCTTAACTCCAACTGTTTCTCTTGATTTACACAAATGAGAAGGGGTTAGATACTTTCCAGGATATCCTTGTCTGCCTCTCATCAAAGTGGGTGCCTGCAGTTTGTTTCATCTGTCATTTGCCTGAACTGAAAAGAACTCAGCACAACACACAAAACTTGGATGCCGGTGGAAGAACAAATTCCACTTTTTACAATTCATATGCATCTTTTCATTTCCAAAATAGAGAAAAACAGTCTGGCCAATTCAGTTCAGAGCCTCGGGATTCTATACTGTTGGAACCAATGGCTGCAGTTCTGGAGTCCACAGAGAGTAAATGTGCCTGGATTGGTTCTGCAAAAACATTCAGCAATTTTCCAACTAAACAAAAAGACCTGAAGGATATCATGAAAATATTAGCATATGATCTACAAAGACCATGTAGTTGCAAGTGTGAGGAGCAGTTATTGGTTTGCTGCAATCCTTGTTTTAGTTATCATACAAAACTGCTTTTTATGAATAAATCAAAATATTGGAAGATCCTATAGGCTGCTGCAGTTGTGTCACATTCTACCTATACACAAGACCATGGATATATCACTAGCATGATATCTTAGAGCGCCTTTGGACCCTTCTGAGACTGATATCACAGAAAAAAATTAGTCAAAAGCAAGCATCCAATTGACAGCAAACCTAGTTTCTTCTTCAGGAACCCTCCCTAGTTGTATTCATCACATGTAAGTCACGTGGCCATTTTGGCTAGGAGGACAGGGTGTCACCAGTACTAAATTATTTGGGGGCCTGCTATTATTACCCACTGGAATTCTATTATGGAATCTGAGCCTTTTGTACAGAGTTGACAGCACTCTCTATGTCTTTCCTGGCCTCCCTATGGAGTTTGCATGCTGATCAGGTTCTAGCATCTGGTTTCTCCAGTGCATTTTTGTGACCTTTTTGTGACCTGTTTAGCCTGACTTATTCCCTTGCTTGGCTATGACTCAAGGAGAACTAGATCAAAATCTACATGCACAAGTACCCCAGATGATTTCTTGTATGACTCAAGCTACAGAGCTATAGCTACAGAAGGAACTGCCTAGTGGCCAGGTCATCCAGGGAACAAATTATTTCCCTCTTTAGAAGTTACTCCAAAAAAGTAAAATAAATACAATTATTTTGTTTTCAACCAGCTGGTAAATGAAAATGTCTTGATTTTGTAAAGCTCCAGGAATCTCTCCTGTAACATGAGTTTGTAAAGTAAAAATTCAGATTCTTCCTAAACTTACTTAACAAATCTAAGTATGGCTTGATTTTAAAATGGAATTTAGCATTTCTGATTCTAGCCTGTTTAATTTTTAAATATTCTAGTGGAAATTGATGATTAGCCTTTTGGTCTTCCACTTGTTCGATTGTTTGGGTAGTTAAAGAGGAACCAAGGAATAGGGCTTCAATCTTGTCTAAGTTGCAATTGTTAGGCCTATATAACAATGTTTTTCAAATGCCGGAAACATGCTGGCTAGGGAATCCTGGGAGTTGAAGTCTTGACACCGTCAAGTTTGAAAAACACTGGTCTAGATTCTCACTTATTTAGCTGTAGAATATGAATGATTAGTCATTAAAAAAAGGACAGCTGCAAAACTGTCTCTAAAATATATTACACTGAAGCATCCAGTCCTTTTCTCCTTATGCTGGAGGATACATTTCAATTTGTCAATGAATTATGTCTATGTTGTCCTTTAAAGCTAACCTCTCTTGATATATGCATGTACCTTTTGGGCCTCTGTTCTCCAAACTACGGCTGCCTTCCAGATTTGTTTGACTACCGTTCCAAGAACCCCAAACATGGAGTGGGCCTTGTGCCTTTGGAAATTATAGGCAACTCATCTGGAGGAAAATCAAGAATCTAAATATTTAGCGACCTGCATATCATCACCTACAACTATCTAAATTTCTGCAGGAAAAATGTATTTCACATCCTCCATTAGCCCATTTGGGCAATTACTATATTTTCACCTCTATCTTTAAAACTGATTAATTCCTCTGGCTGGCCTTCCATTCTGCCAAAAATTGTTCTATGTTTTGATAGGAAGTGTTGGATTATGGAATATATATGCCTTGAACCAAACCATAGAGTTTATCTTATTTATAAAATAAATGCTCAGATAAGCAGGAAACAAAATTATTGTTATTAGCACAAAGATAAAATATAAATAAAATAAATATAAATTTTAATTTATTTCCTAAATTTTCCTGCTTTATTATTTACTTTATTTAAGTTTATTTTCTCTAAAGTAGGGAATACTGTATTAAATAAATAAAAGTAAATAAATTACTTACTTAATTTACCACTTATATCAAAAAGAACATCCTAGACTAGCATTTCTCAATCTTAGTGCCTTTTAGATGTGTGGGTTTCAGTTGGAGTTGAACAGTTGAAGTCCAACATCTTAAAGGTTCTGAGATTGAGAAACACTGCCCTAGAACGACATATTTCTTTCAATGTATTTTGTTGAGGAAAATCGTATTAACATTTGGACTAACTTCTCAGTTGAAAACCTCACTACAGGAAACATCACTGGCACTCAAAATGTGCCTGGCAGATTCCTTGAGTCTTTTTTTTAGATTAATATAGAAACTTCTTGCATACCTGAATGAAGCTCCTTCACCAAATATGACATTGTATTGGTAATTGAATCAGCTGCTACCAGCAAATCGTTACGGAGATTCCGCCGAGTTCCTGAGAAAGGGTAATGAAGTAATATGCAAATTCATTGTTCTAGGAAAATTAGTGGTTGTAACACTACTATAATACTTTTATATTGTAGACTTCAATAACTAAAGTTGAAATTATTTTTATTCCCCAATCCAAAGATAAGTTCCAGGAAATATTGGTGAGAATCTGCATCTATCGTAGATGTAAAGACTGATCCTAAGGGTATTTTCCTGCTTATGCATTCATTGACTATGCAGATCAGTCAACAAGTGATTTGACTCCTGGCTCATTATTTCAAAGTGACCAAGCTGAGCAAGAGAAGAGGTATGATTGCTGTGGCAGTTCCTTGGAAGGTGGTGATGATGCAGCAGCAACAATAGCCTCTGTGCCTTCCATAAGTAAACAGTTGGCCTTCCAGGAGGCTACAGGCAGCTGTGACTTGAGTTGGTGGTGGTAGTTACCATAGTAACAGGGAGGGCAGTACTGTGTTTCCCCCAAAATATGACCTAACCCAGAAGTAAGTCCTAGACTGATTTTTACATGTGAGCCCAATATAAGCCCTACCCCCAAAATAAACCCTAAGACCCTGCCCACTCCAGGGTGCACGGGTAAAAATTAAGCTAGGATGGGGATGGGGGTGAGTCTTCGGACAGTTGCAGCCAAACCTCGTACACCCCGACATCTGCCTTTTTGGCCCATTTCTTCTGCAGCTGGCAAGGCAAGGCTTTCCTGAAGGCCTCTGCACCCGATAACAGAGCTCCGGATCAATCCAGACCTCTGTTATCAGCTGCAGAGGCCTTCAGGAAAGCCTTGCCAGCCACAGAAGAAATTCCTGAAGCCTCTGACAGCAAAAAGGAGGCTGAGGGCAATGCGTGCAAGTGAGAGGAGTCAGTGGATGACATCCCCCCTCCCCCAAAATAAGACCTGGTGTGTTTTTTGATGGAAAAAAAATATATGACAGGGTCTTATTTTTGGGGAAACATGGTATTAGAAAAAAGATGTGATAGCAAGAGATCATCAGCTACAGCTACTTCTGTTGCCTGCTGCAGAAGAGCTCTTGCCAACTCTCCCAACTGCAGTTGCTGGAGAAGTCACACAAAGAAGAAATGAGGTAGTCAGCAGCAGAAACGACTGCCATAGCAGCAGTCCCAGTGGGGACTTTGTGTACATCCCAGGCAATGTCAACACTTGCTGTTTTCAACAGGCTATGGGGTTGACCTCCCAGAAGTACTTGGGCAATCAGATGCTGGCAGTGCAGTGGATCTGAGCATGTTCCATCTCTCACTGCTTAAGAGAAAATTAACAAGCAGTTTGCATGAATCATACAAAATTGGCTAGATAATAACCCTGCATATATGAAACACAGAGAAACCAGTGGAATAATAGCAGAGCACTTATAGGACACAGTGGATGCTTTTGGTGTTCTTCTGCAGAAGTGTATTTTAAAATACTTTCTAAAAATAAATTGTGCACTTTAGAGCTTTTATCTTCTCCTCTCCCCACTCCTTCCCTCATACTTTTATGTATATATGCACAAAAGGGTATGTGTATTATGGCTCACCTTGTGCAAATGCTTCCTGGACATCTCCTCCAACACCAGTAAGTGAATCTTGGGGTACATGAGTTGGGGTAGAACCGGCAGATGTGGACCTGACTGGCATTGGCATAGAGCGGCCAGCCCCATGGGTGGGGGAAATATGTGGAGAACCAGCTGCCTGAGCCTAAAATAAATGGGAATCCCAGTTACTACATTTCCTTCTTAAATAGCTCTTCCAAAATAAAACTCCAGCAGCATATGTTGCAAAGATGAGTGACAAATCCTCGGAAAACATTCTCTGTCTCATACAGCATGCAAACTCTACTACTGGTACATGCAGTTTGTAAGGGTTTCTTTCTAATCTGGTGTACTATCAACTCCAGACAACATGGTCCATTTGGAACTCATAGTTTGGAGAAGGCTGCATTAAGACAATCCTGGATTTATTGGGAGTGAAGGCAACTGTCTCATGTCTAGTTGGGCAATTTGATCTATTTCAGCTTTCCCCAGAATGGGGAGTTTTCCAAATATGGGAAATAGTTTCCAGGCTTCTTAGAATTGACCATGCTGGCTGAGGAATTCTGTGATATGAAGTCTACAAAGTTATGGAAGGTTTATTTAATCTAGTAGCCACAGCTCACTATGATACCAGGAAAAAAAGAAATAATTTTACTTCCTAAAAGCCATTCCACTTGGGCTTGGACACGAAATCTGAATCTTTTTGCCCACAAGTAAATAAGCAATCACTAAGGAAAGGATCCTTCCTAATTATAAATAAACATCATGCTGTGTTAGATGGTCAATGTATATTATTCTCTGTTCTAAGGCAGGGATCATCCAGCCTACTAAAGCCAAATTAGCTAAACACAATTGCAATCACATTAAATGCTATGCCACATTAATATGGTTTAAGGGGTGGTCTGGTTCACACTATATGCAAAGACAATAGCTGTGTTTCTACAATACACTCAACTGCAAAGAACTCAATTCCATTTAGCCAACGCTTGCGTGTCGTGCGAACGCAGCTGGTAAGAGATGCTTATCTGACATTCCAGAGGCAGCAGTACTATACCACAACTGACCTAGCCAATACTAAGATTGAAATGCCCAGAATCATGGATCTCATCAATCTCTGCCTCACTACTTACATTTAGTTTGATGGACAAATATACCAGCAGATCAGAGAAACTCATAGCAGAGACTGTAATGCAGGATTTAGAAACTACAGTACTCCATGCAGTATACAGCCAAAAGTATGGATGTAGATATAACTTTCATCATAACACAAAGGGCACAATTAGAGAGAAGACGCATGAAACAATCAAGAGCTTCAGTGGAATAAAATTCACAAAAGAAGAAAACAACATTATCCTTCCTCAATATCCTCATCAACAGAAGATACAATGGCAATTAGAAATGCAAGGGTTGAAAACAACCCACATTAACTAAGGGCTTCATTAGCAAAGTAACAACTTGTAGCCTCCCACAAAAGGAGCTTCATAAGTACGCTATTCAGATGAGTATAAATGCACTACAACAACCCAGAACACAGGAAAAAGGAAACAGACTGCTAATACCACATCTTCCAAAAATCTGAATACCTATACACTTATCAAAAAGTGTTTGACTACTCAACCCACTACAACTAACACAAACTATGAAAAGTATAATACTGCCATACATCAAAAACATCTCAGAAACAACCAACAGACAATTAAAATGCCTTGACATCACCATAGCAAACAAACTAACTAAAGCCCTCTGAAACACTCCAAAGATCTAGTAGCCAAAAAAGGAAAACTAATCACTTACGACATACAGTACTGTAATAGCTACTATGTAGGATAGACATGGAGAAAACTAGCAGAGTGCATCCAACTAGAAGCCAGAAGACACAATGAAAACTTCTTAATATCACAATTCATGGTCAGATTCAATCATAGATGCAACTGGAAAATTGTGAACATCCTCGACCAAGTTAAATCCAAAATGCTAGGGAATTTCTAGAAATTTGGCATTCAGACCAATCAGCCATCAATAGACACATAGAGACAAACCACGTTTACAGACCTTTCAAGAGAGACAATAAAAAAGCTAAGAAGGAAAAAGAAAGACCGGAACACATCCTTGCCAGCAACAAACAGTGAGATAAGCAGGGATTAATAACAGACAAACGAGCAATCAGAAAACAATATCCTAAGGAGAAAACCACATCCCCACCAACGCTGGCAGGAGAAGCTGGTATACAAAGAGAGAGCAAATCCCATACCCACTAGCACTCATTATGCATCTGCAAGCAAACAACTAAGCTCAGAGATGATCAAGGACATGACAATGGGAAAGAATGACAGAAAGCTGACAATATATATTACAATCAATTTACTCAGATTACTAGCATTACAGATTGAGGTCCTACAACTGACTTCTACCTGGACTAGTAAATAAAGATGGAAAACTGGAAACTAGCACTGCTAGGATTAACATTTATATGTTCCAAAAGCACCTAGAAGTAAATTTTCTATGTGTCACTATACCTATTTTTAATTTTTAAATCCAGAATGCTTTAATTGTTTTATTGTAACATTTTGTACTTAATTTTATTTCAAATTACGAACGTATCAAATATTTTTCATTTGTTATAAGGTAACATATTGAATATACAGTAAATTACTCCAGTTGTATAAACTGAATTCTACTTTGACGTATTATCTAAATATCAAGCGAAGAATAAATTTGAGTTCCTCAGCTGAAGTTCGTATTCTGTCCCAAAGGCATAAACATTCAGTGTACACACAACTAGTATTAAATGATGCATAAACAAAGCTGGTAATGTGTTCTCAAGGGGGCTGTATGTGTTGTATTCACTGTCCACATATGAATGGGTTCTGGAGAATTAGCTCTTCAGTTACGTTGGTATAATACTGAAAAACCACAGGGGAGAAAGATTGGAGATTAATTGAATCATTGGCCTGGCAGGGGGATGTAAGGGACTGTTGAGACCTGATTTGCATTACAGAGTCTGTGTTGCTCTATGAATATATACTATTTTGGTCAGAAATAATTTGAATAACATAGCATTGATGCCATGATTGGACAGAATCCACAGTTGTACTCACCATGAAAATTAAATTGGTGCTATTTGTATTTTGTTACGAATCACTTCTTGTGAATGAGAATGAAAATATTTCTGATTTTCCAGATGGGGAAAAGATCAAGTTATGCAATGAATGCATGCTGGGACATTATAGCTGACCAAATGGATATGAAGGAATATAGACCAAAACACTTCAACTCTTGGGAGGCTGCCATCTCTAAGTCCCAACTAGAAGCAAGCACTGACCTTTCTTGCTGCTTTGTCTAGCTACGTAATAATTTAAGACAGGGGTGTCAAACTCACGGTGTCACATTGTCATCACGCGACTTATCGTGACTTTTCTCCGTTTGCTAAAATGGGGGTGGGCGTGGCCAGCACATGGTGCATCTGATGCATGATGCAGGCCATGACACCCCTGATTTTAGGAGTGAGCCCTTTTTATACCAAACTCAGCTTTTGCTAGGTTTGAACTGAAAATTAATCATGTTTCTTTTGCTCATAAAGGTTTTTTTTTTTTTACCTGTTACTTCCTTTCCAACTGTGTTATTTTATTAACTGTGCAAAGTAAGCTTTGCAAGTCTTGTCTTTGATGCGCACACAAATGGTGAGACACACTCATAGCTGTTTCGGACTGAGCATTTGTGACTAATACTGTAATTACCTATTAACATGCATAACCTCTGCACAGCCTCCCATATTCAGTTTGTGTCATTTCATCTGGTTTTTATTCCTCTGTTTTCTTTACCAGAAGCAGCTCCCACCTTTGAATCACATTTGCTACTATGGAAACCTTACTGTCACAGAGTCTGGAAAGGAATCTGATGCCCTTAGAGGTGAAACAAAACCAGCTTTTACAAAGCTACGTTTGACGAGTGCCGTGGTGGTTGACCCCTGATGCAAGTCTTCACTAGAATAAACTCAGGTAGGCTTTGTACAAGTCCACCCCCACCCTCCCCCGACACTGCAGTTGCTGGACTTCTTTTGCAATTATTTCTACCAAAGTAAAAGCAGATGGCCGAGTGACATAATGGTGGAGTTTGCTACTTTTCTAAAGTTTAAGCTGACCTTCAAACAAGATGTATGTAACAGTTAGCTAATAATTGGATTTAATCCTTTCATGGGCTTTTTGGATTTTTTGGTTCAAATATTACAAAAGAAGATAAAAACTAACAAAAATTAATAAAGGAAAAAAAAGGAAGAAAGCAAAGAACTAAGATGCAAAAAGAAACAATAAAAATAAATAGAAAGAAGCTTCCAATTTCTTCTGCAGCAAATCATAGAAATATTATGGTATAATTATCTCTTATTGTTACAAGAAAGCTCTCCCTTCTATTATTTAATATTTTCTAATAATCAAAACTATGAATAAAAAGTTATCTGTTTCTGTTTGATGAAAAATTATATATGGTGTTTTTAGTCAGCAATAATAGTGTCAGTTTGGTCTGGTGGCTAAGGCACCAAACTAGAAATTAGGAAACTAGAAATTCTAGTCCTGTTTTAGGCACAAAAGCTGGCTTTGGGCCAGTCACTCTCTCTCTCAGAGTAACTTACCTCACAGGGTTATTGTTTTGGGAAAATAGGAGGCAGAAAGACTTTGGCAGTGGTGGGATTCAAATATTTTAACAACCGGTTCACCCAGGGTCAGGTTGGCTGTTGTGGGAGGCATGGCCCATCCCCATCCTCCAGCTTCGCCACACATGCAGGATGAGCTCCTGTGATGGCCAGCCTGACCCTGGGCGAATCAGTTATTAAATTAACACACACACCCCGGTTATCAAAGTGGATCCTGGGTGCTGCGCTGAAATGGAGAAATGGGAAACGGAGTGGCCAGCACAAGGGAAGGAGGAGCAGGGAGAAGAAAGAGGGAGAGAGGCCTCCTTTCCTCACACCAGCTGCCCAGTTGCCCATTTTTCCATTGTAGCACAGTGCCCAGGATCCACTTTGATAGTAGAGGGGTGTGTATGTGTGTGTGTGTGTGTGTGTGTGTGTGTGAATGTAACAACCGGTTCGTGTGAACCGGCTGAATCCCACCACTGGACTTAGGTATGTTTGCCACTTTGAGTTTTTATAAAAATAATAAAAATGGAATT